GAATTATCCAGAGTTTCGGGCGTTCCTACGGTAAAACTTCCCACCGGCTAACGTACCGTCTGGACTATGTCTGAAATCTCTGTACTTGTCATAATGTGAAATTGCTTTTTGTCGAAATTTACGTTATACAATGCATACCTGACGTTGAAAAAATCAATTTGACAGCCAGACCATTATACATTCACATATTGGACCAACAGTTCGGATGTTATGTTGAATTAGATTTCTCACGGTTATAAGTGCCGGGATGCTGAATATCAATTTTGCGCGTAGACAAGCTGTGAACAAGTAAGCAATTGCAGCTTTGGGGTTCAGAAGAGGAACCTTTGTCGGCATGGGCCGGAACTTTTGTGTCATTATCGCATTATCGCCTTATCGCATAAACCCCAACCTTTTTCCATTTGCTTTCAATGTTTTTTTTCGGACGAAATACACAACCCAGATCCGGTCATACGTTCATATTTGATGAGGCCAAAATTCTCGCAAGAGGTGACAATCGGGTGAGCCGAGAATTACTTGAGTCAGGGTTCACGGGCCCCCAATCCATAAACAAGTGCAACGATTGGCCCAATCCATATTTGGTGCTGAGGCTCAATGTGGCCAAAGCAAGTCGCTGCTTAGGGAACGGACAGGCCACCGCGTCACCTACGCCAACACCAGAGGGCCAGATGGCCGAGCACTCATCACGCCCGAGTCCACCGCGCGTGATGAAAGTTCAGCAGGTCAGAGCCTGCATGCCGTTCAACAAACTCTAAACGCACAAGAAGGCAATTAGCGTTAAGTGTCGCTGTATGTTTGCAGTAATGACTGTATCCTATAAATACAGCAAACTCATGTGCATGCATTACCTGTTTCTGCTAATGTCACTGACGATGAATCCGCGACGGATGTCGAAAGATTAGACGAACAAAATTTTTGTCCCAGCGACCCAGTCGTCATCTTCTGAATTACTTCCTGAGACTCGCATATTCCCTTGTATTGACATGCGATTAGCTACTGGGATCATTGATACTGTCACCTATTCCTGTTCCGTGCATGTTGGGAACGCTTCAATTCCCACGATGACTCATCTCACAGAAAGGTACCTAAGTGCAACTTCACGCCGCTTTCATGAGAGCGCGCGCCATAACTGAGTGGTCCTCTGTCGCAATCGCCTGCCCATGGAGCGGACTGAATAAATATCCCACAGCCTTTTAGTAACAGTGACTTGCTCTGCGTGGATACATTTCTCACCCTGGCCGATTGACTTGTCTTGTCCTCTCGTACTGGGCCTCGGGGACAAGAGTCTGGCTAATTACGGTCCATGCCAATATCAAGTACCAAACTCGGGTCATAACAATGCATATGGTGGGTCTTCGGTTAACTTAAAACAGTCAAGTCTTCTGGATCTCTACGCGGATGGGTACTGAAGGAATTCTCCACACAACTAGGAAGTTCTCTTTCATGAATTTAGGCGGATATGCGACTCAGTTAAGTGCTCCAGATTAGATCAACCTACGATACTTGTAATCGTGGATGTAATAGCCGGTGCTTCCAGGCTTCTACGGAAAGCCAGCCTCAGGTGACAGGCACCTAGGAATCGAGAAGTTCTCTCCCCGTTTTTCTCTACTTCGCATCATCATCATCATCATCATCATCCACGTGTTGGTGAAGTCAAACTCTTGGCCTTCCTCCAGGGCGACAAGTTAGTCACCAAAAACTCAATCTGAATATGCAGTCTGACTTCGGAGTGGAAATCAACCAGTATGCCCATATCAACATCTTCTGCATAAATTAAAAGTTTTTGACATAAAGAGGAAGCTTATACTGTTAACACGATATGCCTCGCTGATCAACGCCAAAGTTTATATGTTGGAGATGATTTTTTACATGGAAGGAGATGTCTGATGATGCTTCCCATGGTTAAGTTCATGTTCGGATATTTTAAGCTCTTTTTAGATTGATGATAAAATTCATGATTTGACAGTGGTAAGATACTGCTTGCCGATTACCTGAAAATTTGGCAAGTCCTTAAGGCACCGAAGGACCAGATACTCCTCCAAAATAATATCCACTGATCTAAACCGATGGCCACTTGAGTTCAGCTTGTGGAAGGGGGCTATTCTACGCCTGTGTGCAAACTACTACCACTCAGCCAACATGATTTAGCCATATTACCTGAAAAACTGTAAATACCTCATGGCATATTACCGAATGGATTTTGGTACTTGAGTGTAGAGCAAACGAAAGTCATAGTTATAATGCCTCAAAACTATAAAGAACGCCATGGGGCCACTGCACATCGTCAAAAGGACGTTTGCAGTTCTCGTAAACAATTGTTTTCTTAAACTTTCACAACACGTTTCTGTTCCTTTCACTTTGAATATGGCTTACAGAGGCTTTTGGAGGAAAAAATAAATTCTCAAAAAGGGTAAACTCGAAAAAAAAGCTGAGAAAAGTTGTGAAATGTTAGGTTGGACAGAATTTTTAGAGTTCCTTTATCAACCTCCTGTATGACACAGCCATCGTATTTGGTTTAAGTTCAGCGGTGATACCCATGTCAGCCTTTAAGAAGTTACATTTGGTGAGCAAACTTTTTCGACTCTTCATCATCAGATGTCTAAAATAGCATAAGATAGGTTAGAGTAGCAAGAGTTTGCACAGACAGTAAACAGGAAGTATGTAGATGAGGGTTGAAGGTGTCAAGATCTAAAGGGGGTATATTCTAATAGGATCGGAGGGGGAGGGGGATTGGAGGGGGATTTAGGTATCCGACAGCTCCTTTATGTCTCTGTGTCGTAGCTGCAAGGGGACGCCTCAGAGGTGTGAACACACATGCTAAGTCCGGCTTCGGCCGTGGGAGCCTTAGGGCCTGCATTTACGCCTCATGTACACACAAAATTGGGTTACTTAACCGTATAGCCACTGCCTCAGCCATCGTAATTGTCCGCTAGCGCAGGGACTTGGAGTGCTTGGTCGGCACTTATTAGACGACTCAGAATGCTTGTACCCAACCTCGAACGCGAACTACGCTTCGCGGACATGTTTCAGTGGCACCCATTGCCTTCAATTCGTAGACGTTTAATGAAACTGTGCATAAAACCTTTCAGGCCAAATCTTTGGTATACATTTCTCTTACCCCAGGTAGTATAACAATGGACTGATTTCCACAAAATGGATGTGCAAGAAATGCCGTCATCCCTCCCTAGGAACTACTGTGACGACTACATATGTTTAACGTTTTCCATGTTCAAAATCCATAGTAGGTTCCATGAAAATCACTATTACTTCAAGTAGGTGTACAATATATTTTTGGATGTTGCTTCAGCTGGAATTCATGTCTTACTATCAATTACACGCTGACGTGTAAAAGTTCGGATTTTGAGGTCCTTAGATGTTACCCTGAAAAGTTTAAGGAGACTGTAATCTTCTGTTGAACAAGTTGGGAAAGTCTTCACGTCTATCTCTTCTGGAATTTAATGTGGCTTCCTTGCATGTTAGTTCCTACCCCTTTTGTTTCTTCATATGGACTTTGACCTTGAAATTGCGTCTCCCTCGTATAGATCAAATGTTCTTGAGTATGCATGTAAAACAGCCGCTACCGGAAACGCGCTTCTTCGTTGTGTAGATTGAGGCGTTATATTTGGTCAACTGCTTTGCTGTTGACTGCGGTAGTCTACCGTTGAGGTGTTTGCCTAATTTAATTTCTATTATTTGTTTAAAAGTACCGTGCTGCACTAAGTGTTGTTTGCACATGGAATTGTCATACGCGTTATTTTGGGGATATCTAATCTTCGCAAACAGAAAGCAAATTGCGGCGTACAGGCACTTCAGTTTTAATCTCACCTAACTCACTTCGGTTGTTTCCGGCACCTAGTTCTCCTGAAAAAAAAACTAGCGGAGACGTTTATAGCTGTGGGGAGCCTCCACACAAACAGTCCTCGACACATTTGTTACGACAAAGCCGTTGTCTACATATTTGAGGTTCCTACGACTGCAGAAGCCGCGATCTACGGAGCTCAGACAACTTAGGAGCACAGAAGTCTGCTAGACCGCCATTTCTTTTCGATGCCAATTATCCACCCAACTTGAAAGACGATCTCAAAAAAAAAGTAAGCGGAGAACTGTGGACATTCGAGGCTGCTAAAGGCATTTTTATCCTCTTACTTAACCAGTGACATTCTAAAATGGTGCACAAAGAAGAAGATAAGGATAGAATAGAATCCCGTATGGAATTAAACAACAGAGACACGACTAGACGGAAACGTTTTCAGTCCAGCTTATCTGCCTCTGGTATATTCTCAGATTTGGTTTTTAAGTTTTCATATAAAAAAACGGTTTGAAAAAGTCCGCCGTGCAAACTGTGCGTTGTTGGCTTCCGTTACTTTTAGTGAACGACAACTGATCCAGTAAAGTTGTGGGAACAGTTATTAAGACCTAGAAAACTTTCACCATGGACAAAGACCAGTTAATTTTACGGAGTTCTCCGCTCTCCCCTACCCTTTCCCCGGCACGGCTTTATCTAGCCATCACTGTCGCCTAACCTATTGCCTACTATAAGCACCCCTTATTCCAACACTCAGACTCTAAGAAAAGAAATTTAATGGTTTCTCTTATCACTCGCATACCTCGCATGTTTTTTTATTTCGATTCAGTAAAAAATCCGCCGGCCTGAAGAGAATTAAGCGAAAGCACACGAAGTATTGTTGACTGATCTTCTGAAGTACTTTATTGATACTAAAACACTGATGTTTACGGAAAAGAACATTAATAATGCCAAAATATCCATTAATAATCATCGATTATAGAGAAAAAGAGGGAAAGTCGGAGACAACAGACATTGCAGGCAATTTCACATGAAGAAAACCGGGGTTGTGAGCGTGCTAGTATTTTGTCATGAGTGCTACTAGGATGAGTACAAAAACTGTCAACCTCACGGTGTCAAATTAAACGGATGTCTGTAATTACTGACTGTTATTATGTTTTGTAAGAATTAGAATGGACCCGATGAAAGTCAAAGACTAATATTCATCCCTCCGCAAATCTCCCTCAAGCTCAATGCGAAGTGCATGATTATGATCGTCAGAATCCTCATCGTCATCATGTTTGCGAAGATGCTTGGGCAAATCGTTTGCAAGTAAGTCGCTGGTAAGTCTCCTAGCAGGGTTTACTAGCTGCTTCCTGCAGAGGTGTGCGACCACTCCAGCACCATAAGCATCGCCCATCACATTGATAGGAGTCCGGATACGATCTCTGAAAATGAAAAATATGGTTACTAAGTAGGGGTCAGTAGATGAGAGACGGGACTAATATTTGGAACACGGAGATGATGTTAACATTTGCGTCAGTTCAATCCATAGTTATCGTTAAAAGCTAAAGAAAAATACTGAACATGTAGTAACTATCAGAAAATGGAATAATCATGTGGCCGGTTCTGTCTAGAAGACTGGCGGTAGTGTTTTTCGGTCAACCAAACACTCAAAGTGCAAAGAGAGAACCGGAGAGACTCAGTTTCGACAAGTTTATATCAAAATAGCCCATCGAGGTCTGATTCTCTATGTCTTTAATTTGCCCTTTCTTAAGCGTTGTACTATTTTATGACCGTACAGAAGGGCGATGCGACAACTATATGGCTCCTACCCTAATGACCTCTTTTGAAATGAACTTCAGGCACTATAGATAAATCGCAACATGGCTCTATAAGTAGTGCTCAGGGACACATCAGTCGGAAGGATGGTCGCCAGTAACCCGGACAATTACGGACACCTACGATTCTAGTCTGAATTGACCAATGCGATATATACCGTGCGGCATTTACGTCGCGTTCTCCTCAAACTAGTTAGTATTTACTAGGAGGATTAGACCACGAAGACTGCAATGAACTTTGGCTGAGATGGCTAGCTTTGTTCAGTCTCCAAATGTGGCACAGCATTGATGGTGCGTCATC